TGATTGTGTAACGTCATCCGGAACCAGGCCCGGTCCTGTCAATTTATAGACATGGAGCGAAGCTACAACGATGGGCCCTTTAATACAACTCTAATAATATAGTGACTTTTCTAATAAATGTAATGCATACTAATCATTCTTATGAAACTAGTTATACATCTTATCTTACCTTAAAATTTTCTTCTAACAGTCACTGCTGGGAAGTCATTGATGATGGCCTCGATGTCAATTTCATCCACAACAACTATTGCCCACTCATCTGGATTTCTTGTAGTGCTTGTATTACTCTTAAAAAATTTATCAATAGATCCTCTTTGTGATTCTATCAAGCCCTCTATCCCTCTCTTCTTTTTTCTCTTCTCATTTTATGCATGTTTTTTGGGCAACATGAGTTCACTGTAAATTTAGAAAAGTAGTAAGTAATTAAAAAATATGTCATACTAAATTCAACATGGTTGCTGCACCATATGGGATTCCTAAATCCCAAATCTAAAGGAGTAAAGAATAAAGATGGGGGACAAGAGCAAATATTGATTAGGGGGGCTTGGCCGCTTAGGGCCAGAGGAAGCCAGGAACAGACGGAAGTGGATGCCGCCGGCCAGCGGCCGCTAGCACTCGAGATCACCAAGACGGATGGGATCGTTCGCTGCTCGCAGCCTCACACGGGAGTCAGCAAGTCGCTCACTCGCGCTGGAAGGCGGAGTCGTGGCCGCGCGGCGGAAGGGCACGGGAACGTGGAAGGCGAGCATAATTGACGCGGAGTCAGTATGCTTGGTTCAGCTCGGTATGCCTGGTTCAACTCTTCCTATGGGCCATAGACAGAATACTACTTCTACTTGCACATTTGGGGTTGGGCCCCCTGGCCTCGAGGGCCCAGTGCGGCGGCCCAGCTCGAACCCCCCCAGGGCCGGGCCTGTCCGGAACATCCATGGAGCCGGCATGGAAGTATATGGCCACATTGTTCAAGAAACCAATGCAAGGGCAGCGACTTTCACATTGTGGAGTTCGTTCAGGATGGAAGAAGCTCCAACATGTGCATAACCTAACGAGAAGCTCAACTTACAATTATGTAGGCAAGCATGTGTGGTATTTATCTCTAGTAATATATACCTGTTCTTATAGAAACAAGGGGCATATTGCAATCTGGTGCATACAGTTAGAGTTAGGCAAGGTCGGAGCCAGAAATTACTTATAGGAGGGGCCAAGTGTTAAAAGATACTCTCTCCATCCCAAAAAAGGATGATGCTATGGGATGCGTGTTGGTTAAACTTTCTCAATTTTGACTATCTTTATAAAAAATATTAGCAATATTTATATTACTAAACAAATTTATTATGAAAATATATTACATGATTTATCTAATAATACTAATAATTGGTTAAAGTTAAAAATAATTGATTTCTCAGGATTTGAGAATGATATTCTTGGTGGGACGGAGGGGGTATGTTACTAGGGGGGACAAATCAATACTTTTTGTACTAAATTATATAGCAAAAAATCATATGTATTAGAGAAATCTGCCCCTCCTTCCCTCCGCCCCTGAAGTTAGGATGGAGCTGGTGCAAAGATCAAACCTGAGAAATCTTTTTCTTTCAACCCAATTAGTTGTTTGGGTTTTAGCTTAAAGTAATGCTTTGTACCGGTGCTCACATCAGTAGCGAGACAAAAGGGTTGTTGCAATATCTCATCAATGTTCATCCTAAATCGACGCATTCTATTAGCACTCTGGTTCAGAATCAGAACAAAATGATAAATACATTATCCGAATTCTTGAATCAATGTAAGATATAAATCCAGCTGACACAAAATAAGAAATGATGTTGTATTTTTGTTTATTCATTCAGTCCCTGACTAGCAGTAGAAAATTCTTTCGTTGTTTCTAAGAGCATTAACATGAAATGGCATCCAGACAGCTCATGCAAGACGTACTGACTACAGTAAACAAGTAGAGCATGGACTGAACCTATTATTCAGACTATTCACCACGAGCTCCGATGTTGATCAGGTTGAGCCCGACCAGGACCAGAGCAAACATGCCAAAGCAGAGCGAACATGCCAAAGCAGAGCATCGGATCTTCCTCGCCGGAGAGCACCGTGAAGGCATAGGACGCCATGAAGAGCCCCACGGCGGCGATGTTGCGGCGCACGAACGCTTGCGAGAGCTAGTGCACCGCCAAACACCCCTGGGACGATGGGCGCAGGGCCGTGGGCCATGTGGACGCCGACGGCGACGAGACTACCGCCGACGAGGACTCCCACAAAGCAGAGGAGTAAGCCGAAGCCGCCAGTGCCGAAGTGCATGCTAGCGCTGACAGAAATTAGCATGACGGTGAGCCCGGCGTCCTTCGCCCTGCTTCCCGGAGTGCTCATCGCCAGCGATGTGGCACCGTAGTCCCCTGTTAACCGGAACATCAACATCAAGAAGGCCAAGGATTTCAAAGTTCACAAGAATCACGGAACAAGGATGTCTTGCGCCTCGTGAGGTCGTGCAACGGCAGAATCGGTTAAAGAAGTTGTTCCGGCGGCTGGAACCGGCCGGTCGTCCGCCACGGGAGCACCGCGGCGTGTTCACACCCTAAAACCTCAGCTTTTTCGCAGAAATCATCGGTACTTTTGCGCCCAAATTTTTAAAGTCGAAGAAAAATTGGTAAGGCAGAGGAGGAGGAACGTTACCGACGTTGGTGGCAGTGAGGACGCGCGGGGCTTCGGCGGCGAGCGAAGAGAGCGCGATGCTGATTGCTGATGATTTGGAGCTTTAGGACCCTCACAGTTCCCCGTATCCTGTGGCTGCTCCTGCTCTGTTCACGAGGCCTCCGGTCACTATCACGAACCTCACGTCGGGCTGGGTGCCGCCGAGGAAGAACACAGCACTCGAGAGTCGAGAGGGAAGGGAAGTGCAGCCGCCGGTGCGAATGGAGAGAGCGAGACGGGAGTTCGGAGTCGGGAGGGTTTATAGGGCGTGTTTTCCCCCTCAAGTTCACGCGCTGTGTTTCGAAAGCACATCGGGATCACCAATCACGCCTTGGGTTCGAAAGATGGCGGACCTCACTAGGCGATGGCGGCAGTGTGAGGTATGAGTCTATGGCCTATGTGGGGAGGCACACGCGCTCGCGAGTGACATGCTGCGGCTGCGCTCGACCACGCCTGCTGCTGCGGAATCCGAACCCGCCAAGCTCTCATGTGCTGCCTTGTAGAGTAGTCCCCGTGTTAAGCAAGCTGGTCGGATACGCGCGCCGTGCAATCATGTTTGAGACGTTTGAGACTACAGGCAGATTGATCGTTAATGCAGAGCGATGCACGCTGCAGTCAATTTGCCTGCGCCACAGCAACGAACAGAGATGTGCTATTAACCACCGAGCATAAGCAAGAACAGGTGTAGTAGGAGCAGTCAGGGGGGTGATAGATGATGGAAAGGAGCAAACCTGAGCTGAGCCGAATCAACGGTAGACGTTTTTATCAATCCTTTATTTGAAGCGCTACAGCTGCAGGTGCAGCTGCTTTGTTTTCTATCCGCTGTTGCTTCCTCACGGCTCACAGCGACAGCAGCTGCAAATGAGAACAGCCGAATTGCAGCCTATTTGTCTGAAACGCTGCAGCCTACTGTCATTGTTGCAGCCTACTTGTCATTCTTACAGTCATTCGTCCCGTTCGCTTCGCTGAAAAAACAAGACAAAACACTGTTCCGGTTGATTTGTTGTGAGAGAAAAATACTGTTCCGGATGAAAAAACAAGCTGAAAAGGACGGATTAATGCTGTTAACTAATCAGTGCCAAATCGAACTGTCATTGTTGTTAACTAATCAGTGCCAAATCGAACTGTCATTGTAGCAGCCTACTTGTCTGAAACGAAGGGCAATTCGTCAGATCGCTTATTGTGTTGGGTTTGAGCTGCACGCAACACGCTACATTGTCAAACACAGCAGCAGTTTTTTTTTCTCGAATACGCAAAAAAATTACGCATCATTGTAATTAAGAAAAAGATGTAACCATACAAATGACGCGCTTCTGACGAGCGCCCTAAGAGGTCATACAGTTGTAGGTTGAACCGTCCTAACAACCAATTTCAAGCTTGGATATTACATAAAAGGTTTACAACCTAGCTAAGGGCGGTGCTGCAACCTACGAAGTTGGGCGCCTCCGTTGCTGGCTGCGCGATCCTGCTCCGGCGTCTGAGAAGAGCACGTTGCTTTTTCTACCAGCCCTATTGTTGGTTGCTGGAAACAGCTCATCCGGAGCATCAACTTGGCTCGACGCCAAGTTCCTGCGAATATGGCGACGTATGCTCGCTAGGACGCAAATGAAACTGGTGCTGCCGGCGGCGCGATGCCCATCCTCTTCATGAGTAGTACCTCGCCCTGCTCGGAGGTCGGTACGTGCGCCAGCGGCTGACTGACAGGTGTCGCTTTGTGGTTGTCACCTTCAGCCTTGGTCAAACACAGCAGCAGTTACTCTTTTAAACTGAAGTATATTCGAAACTGACATAACCTTTTACAGTTGCGAGTTGGCCCCTAGTCTCTCCGGTTATCACCTCATGGCCAAAATATACTGAACTCTGATAGGCCCTATGATATCTCCTAATCCATGGTTAGTTGAGTACCATATCATTGCACAAATCTATGAGATTTGCAAATAGATACTTGAAACATGGTGCTCAAGTTACAGACGTGATTGTATTTGACCAAATGCTCATAGTCATAGGCAGACGTACAATATTGCTCAAAAGAAATATAGTATTGCCTTAATGCACGGCAAGTAGGAAACAAAAACACTTGTACACTACAGTTTACTCCAACAAAAGCACACAACACGACATGACAAAGATTCTGCAACAAGCACGCAGTAGGGAGATGCAGCAGGCAACAGTACTAATGAGTGAGAGGGGCAATGGCGACGGCAACGTCATGTTGCCGGCCAGACTGGCAGTTCAGGGTTCTAGGGAACGCAGTGGTTTTAGGAATGAGTCGATCATCAATGCTTCGAAGAAGGCAGGAACTGAACTGGTTATTCGCCACGAGCTCCGACGTTGATGAGGGTGAGCCCGAGCAGGAGCAGAACGAACATGCCAAAGCAGAGCACCGCGTCTTCCTCGCAGGAGAGCGCCGCGAAGGCACAGGAAGCCATGAAGAGCCCCACGGCGGCGATGTTGCGGCGCACGAACGCCCCGAGAGCTCGTGCGCCTCCCGGCACCACCGGAAAAATGGACGCAGGGCCGTCGTCCATGCGGACGCTGATGGCGACGAGGTTGGTGCCGACGAGGACCCCCATAAAGCAGACGAGCAAGCCGAGGCTGCCAGCGCCGAAGTGCATTCCGGCGCTAACAGAAATCAGCATGACGGTGAGTCTCGCCCAGCTTCCAGGAGCGCTCATCGAGGAAGAACACGGCACGGCACTACACGAACACGAGAGGGAAAGGTAATAAAGCTTGCTGGCGGGAGGGGGAAGCGCTGCCGCTGGATCTCGCCGGTGGTGCGAATGGAGAGAGCGAGATGGGGAGTCCGAGCTCGGGAGGGTTTATATGGGCGTTGGGTTGTCTGCGTTTGTTTTTTTTATAGGAGCAACGACACGGGTGGTCCTCCGGCGAACCGCGTCGGGAACGTGGTGTTGGCCCGGGGCTTCCGGGGTTGGCATGGCTGGTCCTGCTGGTGGGCCAGTTTTGCAAATCCCCTTGCGCGTCCGTTGCTGATCCGGGTTTTGTTTTTTTTTAATGAGAACTGGAGGGATTCGCACCCCTACAGTGATTTATTAAAAAGAAGACAGGCGGTTCAATACAGATAAACACAAAGCAGGGGATGGAAAGAGAATTAAAGCCAAAGAAGTTTTAAGAAAAACAACAGGGCCACCACTGAAAGGAGCAGCGCTAAGCTAAATCTGCAATCCATTGATTAATTCCTCGCGGGTAGCTCCTTTTAGCTCGCAGCAGTAATAACTGGAGCTCATCCCTGAAGTTTTCTTTAGACGCTCGAAGGTTCGGGTTGATCCGACGAAAAATCATGCCGTTTCTTGCCTTCCAAATGGTCCGGCACATTAAAATGATGATCTCCATAAAGAAAGACACCTGGAGCTGATCTTGAAACTTTGAAGGCTCTGAAAAGGAACAATGTTCTGATCAACAATGCCACGAGCCCGCCCGCTCTCGGCAGTCTGCATGCTGGTCGCGGGTCGCCCGGCCTCCGCGTGTCCACCGAGCGCCTGCTGCGTGGAGCTGAGCCCGACGGGCGAGACGGGGCTCCACCGGGCGCTCTGCGGGTGGCCGCCTGCCCGCGAGGCGGCGAGCGAGCTATTTAGGGCACGTTCGCTGGTCTTAAAAGACCAGCCAGCTGGCTGAATCTCCCTCTCAAGTTACTGTTCATCAAATCAACCAAACAGTGTTTTTCTCTCACAACAAACCAGCCGGAACAGTGTTTTTCAGCCAAGTTTCAGTCAGCCGAACGGGGCCTTAATCCGGTCGGGGGCCTACTCCTTCCTACTCGCTTTCGCTTTGGCACCGCCCCGCCGCCGTCGAAGAACTCGAAGACGGAGCGAACAGGGCTTTATTTCATTGTTGACAAGTAAATTACTTTCCTCAATCGGTCTCTTAACACTACTGGAAAGAATATCTCTAATAGATATATCAATTAAAACAATATGATTAGATTGGGAAATTGGTAAAATACTTGTACTTTGTACCTTATCAATCAAGTTGAAGCAGTGTAGGTCTTCTAACACCATCATAAAGCCAACAGCTGCTGGCACTCTGACACTTCCTCCATATCTTCAGGGGTTTCATCTTTTGTGACTTGGTGTTCTTTGTTAACCAAACATGGTTCGGCTATAATTTGAGGATCATGAACAACACGATAGTCACTAGATAAATGCACCACCCCTTTGACTCCTGAAAATTCTGAGTCTAGCTAATTTCTTGCGCTTCCCATATTTTGCCACAACTAGACTTGTTTCTCGAGAAGGAGTCGATTCGAAATGGATATTGTTTTGTTCGGTCTTGTTATCCGAACACTCGCTTATATCCGAACTAACTCTTTCTTTCTCACTTGTGTCAGCTAACAATGCTTTGTCTTCTTGCACAACTATGATTTCAATTTCATCAGGATCTGGATACTCTTGACCTTTTTTTCATTTCAAGATAGTACTTCTCAAATTTCTTCTGTCGAGCAAGAAAATCATCATATGTTCCACCAAAATAAAACTGCCATTTAATACTTCCAGGCTTTGGAAACACAATATGAGTTGAATTGTGAGTATTAACTCCTACACATGGTGCTGAATTTTCATTGATTCGGCTATGGTTGCTAGCTAGTAACACGTGAAGCCGAATCATGAGTAATCGCACTTGAATGCCTTGCTGAAATTTCATTAGTTCGGCCAATAGTTATTAGTAACATATAAAGCCGAATTATGAATGCTAGCATTTGCATATGATGCTAAATTTGTAGGCCAAACCTTTGATCTATTAGCATATCGTGCATCATATGAAATTTGAGAGTGATTGGCCGAATAATTAGCATCACCATAGCCAATTCTCTCATTCATCGGCATGTCTTGTGGTGGAACCACATATCATGAGCTTGTAGTCGATGAATAAGGATATGCATGTTGTATTTTGCTAGTAGAATTAAAACTCGAAGAATTCATAGTTGACATCGGCTCTTGACCATAATATCCAGGACTATAATGTATATGATGAGGACCATTATCAAAAGTATTAGCCAGTGTAACATATCTACTATAATTGTGACTAGCAACACCAACATGAGAGTTCATAAACTTGCAAAATAACTATTAGGATCATATGATGAATTTGCAAGTTGTACCTCGGGGTATTTATAGTAGTATTGCGATGAACCACCTCGGTACTCCATGGTTTAGCACATGACCGCCTTGCTGAATTTTTCAATATCAAGCACAACATGTTGCGAAAGAGCAAGCGAGATCACAAGGGGTCAAAACCAGATGCGATCGGCCTTTGAGCCAGATGCAACGGTAATGGCAAGCACAAGAATATAGATCAATGAAGAATATGGCTAGGGCAAAGAGATTCAGCTACAAGGTAGAGCCAAAGCAATCTTCCCTAGCGGAGTCGTCAAAAAGAGTGTTGATGCCGGATTGATCCCAAATCACAAACCAGCTGGGGCTAGATTACCCGGGCTGCCACGAATAGAAGAACGCAGCGAGGATATCACTCTTATGTAGTAAGGCATGGGAGGTTTACAAACAAACCACCAAAGGATGACCAATCGCACTTATGTGACGAAGAACGGCTAGTTTCTGAGCAAATTAGCAAATGAACCATCGAAGCTCTCGCCCGGGACGGACCGTTGGGGCGAGGGCATTATCAGGTTGCCATAGGTCGGCCAGCAAGCCTAGGGCGCCATCCTTAGTCATCGGATCAAGCAATGAACGGCAAAATGAGGTTGGAAGAGTACATAAAGAGTTGTAGATGTAAAAAGAACGATAGGATGTTGGATATACTAAATCAGCCATGATCCTCTAGTATGTAATAGAGACGGTGGTCTTATCTCAATAGAAGACCCTTCTAATACTTATTTTTTAAGTTTCGCACGAGTTTGGAAGAGTTCGGATCGGAATCCAAAAGGCCAGATCCGAACAGGGTTTTTTAGTCGGTCCGTCGGAAGTTCCAATGCCTGCCGGAACTTTCGGGTGTTGGAACTTCTAACCGACGTGAGGATAACCTTAGGCACCCGAGTAGAGTTTTCAGGTTCCCCGAAAGGTGGGGCGCCTGTCGGAATTTTCAACATAGGTCGAAACTTCCAGCATTAGAGCATCTTCCCAAGGGCGTAATTTCTTCATTCGGACTCTAAATTGAACATTCTATATATGTTTTTTTTACCATCTCAACGAAGAGAACGCAATGGTGAGGTCTGTTTCACATTTTGACAACTTCATTTGGTTGTCAACGTACTCCTACCTAGAAACGTATTCCATGCACGGAGTATACTATACGATGGTGGGGAGGCGTCCGAGCGCGAGCTGCTGCATGTGCATATACGCTGAGCCGATGGGGTTGGTCCCGGTCGGATCCTAGAGCGATTCCGGAGACGCGATGGGGATTCTCCGCGCTGGGCCCTCCCTAGCGTTCCAACTTCCAACCGGAGGGACGGGCGTGAAATCGAGTGCAATATATTCTCATGCATATTCCACGAAGGGTATGGTGGCCTGGTGGGTGAGCGTGCGTTGCTGCGGTGGGTCAGTGCTCTTGTGGCGTGCGGCACAGCGCGGTGAACGCCGAGGCGACGACGGGGTCCTGATCTTTTCTTTCCGAGTCGGCTACGTCTACGTTGACGGGAGTAGTAATTGGATGCGTTACGCTGTGGAGCCAAGCCGTCGGTTTCCCTTTCCCATGGCTTTTAGATTTAGATTGATTGATTGATTGATTGATTGGTGGGTCGGTGAACTCGCTCTCGGCACTCGCCATACTCCAATACTTCTCGGAGAGATTCAGAAAGTACCCGCAACGGTTGTACAGAGAGAGTTGTCCTGTAGTAGCGATTTATTTTGCCGAATTAATTAAATTCAAGTTTAATTTGTTATATCTCTACGTACGCATTTTCTGTTTTTTATCTCATATTAAAAATCTGGGGTGGTTGGCAGTGACCGCCAGCTAACAAAATACAGCAGTAATCCGAGCAACAAAAATAATCAACCAAGTGCAACTTTGCATAAAGATTGTTGATTATAATATAAATTCTCACTGCCAGCTTTCTTTTCTCCTTATATTGATTATTAATATATATGCTAATCAAAGTTATGGTCGCCAAATAAACGAAAGCAATAAGTCCACTTTTGGCCCATCAACTATTGTGTTCGTCTGATTTTAACCTCCAGCTATAAAACCGTCTAGTGTTGATACCCTAACTGTCAAAATCATTCACTTTTAGCGCCTGGGCGCGGAAGAGACAGTTTTGTCCGGCGTGGTACGGGTTTGACCATGCCACGCTGGCATTGACCGCCATGTAGGACGTTGGCCTGCATCACAGTGACATGTGGGGCCCGCGCGTCACCCACCCATTCCCTCCCCTTGCAATCATTTGCCGCCATCTGGCTGCCACGCCGCCGCTGAGCGAGCGTGCGCGCGGGCTGCCACGTCGGGCTAGCTAAGCCGCCGTCAGGCTCTCACGCTGGGGCCATCGGACGAGCAGCCAGTCGCGCCATGGCCGACGAGCGCGCGCGAGCGGGACGCCGTGTTGCTGCCTCCACTGGTTGCCCCCGGCGGAGGCGCCCGTGGCCTGCGGCCCCTATCCATGCGGTGATGCGTGGCGGAACCCTGGCGGCCTTGCTGGTGAGGTCGAAGT